CTGAGAAATTAATTTCTGAGAGTTACAGAGAAAATCAGTGCAGCCAAATGAGGTTATTATAACTGCACAACAAATTACACTGGAGTCACTTATTTGGAGAAATGTGCGGCTCACGACTACTGATAAGCAAAGAATAAAACGAATGCTAATGGCCTAATTTATCCTCAGTTTTAGTAAAAAAATGTATGTAACTGCTCATGGAATTGTTTAAAATTAACTGTTCAGATTTATGTGGGATCTATTATGTGATATAAATGTACTGGAGACTTATTACAGTTTTTTGCGATCGCTAAACGACAGTGAGCACAACTGGAGCTACATGTGCAAAACTCTACAGTCTGCAACAGTCACCTGAGCTAACCAGTTCACATCACCTGCAAAACTCACTCAAAGCAACACAACTCTTAACACACGGCTCAAAACAAGCTCAGTGCAGCAAACACTATGCCCAACCCTCACTGAGATAACACACACTGTCACTCAGAACACACTGAGAGGAAAAACACTAGCATGAAACACCAATACAGAAAATACTAACTTTTCATCTTTACAGTTTGAACAATTTCAGTGACTTCATAGGGTAAATGAAAATGAGCAGTTTGCTTCAATAGTCTGTACTGTAATTTACGAAATTACAGTAATGAGAAAAAAGGTAGAAACTAAAAGTACACACAGTGCTGTAATTCTAACAAATAATTGAGGGGCTAATGCTAATCCTGCTTCTCTCTAGCATCAGGCCACAGGTTTTCGTCAACATCACATCTAATGTTCTCTCTTGCCATGCACCTGGGGAAGAACCTTCTGGAGTGCCTTATCCATCCCTGGCAGTCCTCTGGACTCGTGGCCTCACATCCGGCACGCATGGCTTCCAAAAGAGACATTTGGTCATGTGGGTGGTGATCAAACACTTTCCACCTCCAGGCAGAGAAAAACTTCTCTATTGGGTTGAGGAAGGGTGAATATGCAGGCAGGTACAAAATCATAAATCTGGGATGTGCTGCAAACCAATCTGTGACAGCTGCAGAGTGGTGAAAAGCAACGTTATCGCAAACTATGACAAAAACTTGGGGGTTTCTTACTGGCTCCCCTTGTTCTGCTGGCACTAGCTGAGCATAGAGCTCTTCTAGGAAAGCTATAAGCCTTTCTGTGTTGTATGAGCCAATGAGTGGTGTGTTGAGAAGCAAACCATCATTGGCCATTGCAGCACACATGGTGATATTTCCCCCCCTTTGGCCTGGAACCTCCACAGTGGCCCTTTGACATATAACATTTCTTCCTCTATATCTGTGTAAATATTCTATAATTGCAATACAAAATAATTTCCTATGTTTTTATTTATTGTAAGGATGTAACTCTCACCTGTTTGTACGATGGAAAATTCGCATTACAGATGCCACTGTGGATCTTTGCAGATTGGGTTGCACCCTCAACCCTGCCTCTCTCAATGAGAGACCATAGTTCACGACATGGTCTATAAGTGTAGCCCTTATTTCATCTGAAATAACAGCTCTTTGTTGTCTTCTTTGTCTCCCTCCACGAACCCGCCCTCTCCCTGCCACCCTTCTCCCTCAACGAACCCGTCTTCCTTGTTCCATTTCCAAAATTAGTCTTTCTGAGCTCTACCTATATATATATATATTTGTGTGTGTTCACTAACAAGTCTAAAACAAGACACCTGCTTAGCCTTTCAGCTGAAATTGCACTCAGCAGTGTTTGAAAGGCACAAAGCTGAAATCTATTCTGTTTTGAATGTATGGTTCACAGTTTTGACAGCAGTGTGTTAGCATTTGAACAAAGTGCTGTAAATCCACAGTGTTGTGCAGGTTGTGGTTAAAGTCATGGGGTAAGTGTGTAGAGTTTTGAAAACTGTGTTCAAGCACTGAAAAACGAACTAGAGTTTGGTCCACATGAACTGCTGCTGTGCAGACTGTAGTTAGAGTTTTGCACATGTAGCTCCAGTTGTGCTCACTGTCGTTTAGCAATCGAAAAAAACTGGGTAACACTTTAGAATACGGTTCCTTCGTTAATGAATAACTACACAGGAACAAATGAGTAACACAATATTAACAATCTAGTAACTACTATTAACTAACAAGAAATTCTGTTTAACGAATTAGTAAGTAACAGCGCAAAGATGAAAGTAGTAGTTCACTATTAACTAATTGATAACTACTTTTTTTTATGCTTCCCAGAGAACTACTGAAGAAGATTAATAGTTCATGCAAAACTAATCAATAACTAATGCAGGACAAATGACTAGCACTACATTAACATTAATAACTACTGTAAACAAATACACAAGGTTTATCAATATGTAATAGCATAGCAGACTTATGATTTGGGAAATAATTAGCCTATGCTCTCTCCTAGAGAACTATTTATCAACTGAATAGTTTTAAAGAAATGGCTTTTTAAATGCAGTTGTCGGGACCTTACTTGTCCTGTAGTGATTTAATGCCAGTCCAGAGGAATGCCAGAAAATTGGCCAGAGTCACGGTGACGGCTGGAACATATTGAGTTATCGGCCATCCAAATACCAAATACAGTGATTTTATGATTTAACCTATACCTCAAAAAAAAAAAAAAAAAGATTTTATTAATGTCTCCTACCTCATACGGGTGTGCAAATATCTTGTGAAGGATTAGAAGATTCTACACTTTAGGATTGGCTTTTCATGTAAGAATCATGATAACTAACTAGTAATGACTCAAGTGTTACTACATACTTCTAAAGGAATGACTAATTATTTGGATCCGTATTCTAAAGTGAAGATCATGGTAACTAACTAGTAATTACTCAAGTGTTACTACATACTTCTATGGGAATTACTATCTAAAACTTCACCAAAAACCTTAAAAGCTTAAAAGAATTAGTAATTCCTTTAGAAGTATGTAGTAACACTTGAGTAATTACTAGTTAGTTACCATGATCTTCACTTTAGAATACGGATCCAAATAATAGTCATTCCTTTAGAAGTATGTAGTAACACTTGAGTCATTACTAGTTAGTTAGCATGATTCTTACAGTAGTTCTCTGGGAAGCATTAAAAAAAAGTAGTTATTGATTAGTTAATAGTGAACTACCACTTTCATCTGTGCGCTGTTACTTACTAATTTGTTAATCAGAATTTCTTGTTAGTTAATAGTAGTTACTAGATTGTTACTATTGTGTGACTCATTTGTTCCTGTGTAGTTATTCATTAACGAAGGAACCGTATTCTAAAGTGTTACCAAAAACTGTAATGATATAAAGGGTTTGAAATAATACAATTTAACACGGCAATAAAACAGCGTTCTTTTTGATTGTTATACTTTCTTTCCTTTCTTTCTTTATTTATAAAGACAACACACATTAATCAACATTTCTGTAAACGTGCCAGTGTTAGCCAGCTGGCTAATTTTCAACTGCAGTCCTTTGGCAAGATGTTTTTGAAACCTTCAAATAATAAAAGTACATTACGAGGACATTACGTAAAACACAACCAACAGTATATTAATCTCGATAAAATATTAGAGACACAGTTATGGGTTAATAAAATGGTAACATGCATCTAAATTATAAAACCAAACTGTTCATAAAAAAAAATACAATATTCCATACATACCCAAGCCACGCTGCTGGACGACTGGCAACGAGCAAAGGACATGGAACATATCAGCAGCAGATTAAATAACAAACACAGTAATAGAAACGAAACAAGCATTGAACTACAGAGATTAAAAATGATCACATGTCTGATTTTCTAGAAGCCAGGCTTTAAGACTTTGTGTAAAGGACTTCTAAAGACGTCTAATTCCCCTGCCTTGATCTTGATGTTATGGAAATGTTTTTGATGATAATAACTTTCTGTTTTTTAAACAATTCAACATTACATGATTTGCAGTTGCTTAATTGTAAACTTTACTCAAATGCCTTTTAATTGTAACTGAATTCAGTAAATGGCAATAAAACATGTCTAAGTAGCTCAATGAAATCTCTAGCAAGAAATAGTGCATACAAGCATGTTAAATGTAATGTTTTAACCACATGCAATATATGGTGCTGGTGGGAAAGCACAAGAATAAGGAAAATTTACTCTGAACTGGTATTTGCACAGAAAATATATTTTTGAGAAAAGCAAAATATTTTCACCAGCTTCACTCTTCGCTTCAATGATAACTCCACCATGATAGAAAAGCTGCATAATCCCAACACAGCAGAACATTAAATATAAATAAGTTTATACTTTTTTCATCTTGCATAAAAACACATGAAGTAACACTTAATTTCAACATTTACTCTCCGTATCCTGTCCTACGCAACGCACGCCGAGAACTAGAAATCCCCTGTCCAGATTCGGCAATGATGCCTTAACGCAGATGGAAATTATTCATGTGACTCCAACACAAATGGATTATGTAAACCACTTCTTGGATTGTGACAAAATATTCAAGAATTGTGTTACCATAGCTCAATTGAATTAAAGGTATAGTCCACCCAAAATGAGAATTCTGTCATCATTTATGCACCCTCATGTCCATCCAAAACTATATGACTGTCTTTTTTTCTTCTGTGGAACATAAAATAAGAATGTTGGTAACCAAACAGTTTTGTTTCCCATTGACTTCCATTGTATTTTTTTTTTTTTTTTTTTATAATGTTTTGCAGAAAAAAAGAAAGTCATATGAGTTTGGAATGACATGAGGGTGTGTAAATGATGACAGATTTCTCATTTTTGGGTGGACAATTTCTTTAGGTAGAAAAACATGACAGATGAAAAAGTGCATACAAATTAGATTTTTATTGTGGGATGTACATGCCCCTACACTTATTCTTTATCCTAAGAAAACTGTTCTCATTAAAAACAACCCCAAGGGCAATGGCAAATCACAGCAGTTGTTGTAGTGCAGCATCTAATTCTCTCTCTCTCTCTCTCTCTCTCTCTCTCTCTCTCTCTCTCTCTCTCTCTCTCTCTCTCTCTCTCTCTCTCTCTCTCTCTCTCTCTCTGTTTGATCCACAGATTCTGATCAAGCAGGAGATGGCGATGATGTTTGAGTTTGGCTACAACTGCTTGCATGCACACTGAAGTGTCTGAAGTCTTCCCTTAGCACAGCTTGAGCACCATCCCTTTCCAACACATAAGAGGACCAAAGATTGTCATAAGATTGACCTGCAAAGCGCCCAGATCTTTGCGCACCATGGCTCAGAGGTCCACTCATTTCGGAGGTCACGGTCCCTCCTGGCCGCTTCATCTCACTCTACTGCTGCTTCTATTGGCCAGGACACCCCAGGCTTTGGCTATCCCAGGTTACAACACTGACATCACCAAGAAGGAGATCATAATCGAGGGGGATCTGGTGATTGGAGGCCTGTTTCCTGTTCATCAAAAGGGGGAGGGGGCTCAGGACTGTGGCCGTATCAATGCACAGAGAGGGATTCAGAGACTGGAGGCAATGCTGCTAGCCCTGGACGAGATCAATCAAGATGATCAGATTTTGCCCGGGGTAACGTTAGGTGCCCACATTCTGGACACTTGCTCTAAGGACACGTACGCACTGGAGCAGTCGCTTGAATTTGTGCGCGCTTCGCTAACGAAAGTGGACGATAGTGAGTACACATGCCCGGATGGATCCTACGCCATCCATGATGATGTTCCGCTCGCAATCTCTGGAGTGATTGGAGGCTCCTACAGTGATGTATCCATACAGGTACTGATCCATGTCACCCAGTTTAAAAATATTTATTCATCTGTTTGTGTTTCCTTTCAGAAAAATTTCTTGATAACCAGATTATGTCATAAATATGCATGAGGATTCATTTGCATGTATATTGTGTTCACACTGTGGCTGTCATTCAGCCATATGCACAAGCCCACAGTATAGTTCAGTTAACCCTGTAGAGTCAACTGTAGCATATTTGATATCAACATGATCAAAACTTTGCTAAAGATACTTTTTTGGAAAGTAAAAGCCCTTTTAGTATAATTCTAAAAAAGTCCACCTTCAGGTTGTGGTATATGTCTTTTTGCTGTAAAATCTTTACTGATTTTTTATAAATTAAACGTAAGAAAATAATGTTATATTGTTAGTTGTATTTCAAGATGAATACTTAATGGACGGAACTTCACTGAAGCAACTTAAGTTTACTTTATCGTCCATATATTATGTTAAAATGTAAAGCATCAAATAGGATCGTTACAGGGTTAAGCAAACAAAAATATATTATTGGGTAACTCAGATTTTAAGTCTCCAAGTTTTAGCAATGGCACTGCAAATATTTCCAAAAAAATAACTTATTTGTTCAGTGTTTTTAACAAATAATTTCTAAACGAATCAGGGTTAGATGAATGATTCAATAACTCATTCAAGGAGACAGTCAACTGTATTGTTGCCAGATTAATCAGCATTATTGAGTGAATTGGCTGAATCAATCATCCAATGACTTACACATAAAGGCAAGTGCTGGATCCGAAATGGCATACTTCGCTACTAGGCGACAAAAACAGTATGTGACAAAAGTATTAAGTCGCAATTCACAGGCAAAAAGTACCCGGATGACCTATTACTTCTGGCAAGATTCTGAAGTGTGCATATGAATGGCAGTGATACGACACAACTGACGCTGGTAGGTCACATGATAATGACATACTGTAATGGTGAATTTAGTACGTCCGGATTACACTTATACTACACATATTTATACTATATACTTTTGTAGATACCACAAAGTAAGTACCTATTCAAAATAAGTACCTACTCAAAAGAGTATGTGATTTCAGATGCAGCCAGTCACTTGTTTCCTTCCTGAATGAATCAGTGTTTTCAAGGAATCGGTTAAATGAAAGATTCACTGACTCGCTCATATAGACAGTATCTTGCCGCCACCTACTTGCATAACAATGTAACTTACAGAAAGAGTCACTGAAAGATCCCTAGCTCTAATGACCAGACTGACAGTAGCCTATTTATCTATATATTTTTTTTCACTGTGAACATAACTAGGTATATTTAACAATCTCACTTCTGTGGTTCATATACTGTAGCATTTAGTAAGACAAATTAGCAGTCTCTTAATGAGGAAAAAGTAGTGGTGGTGTCTGGCTACCTGTCATCCATATGCTCAACCCATCCAATTTGCCACCAACCATGTGGCGTTTCCTGACACTCCCTGGGATGTCAGGAGCAGACGTGCTGCAGATGTTAGCTTTAAGGAATCAAGACAGTGACAGCTTGGTTGCACTCTCCACAAATCTGCTGTCTGAAGATCTAAATATATTAAAAAGAGAGTTAGAGTGATAATTGGAACAAAATGTCTAATTGATTGACTTAATCAACATTCCTGCTTTATGAAAGTTCTTGCACTAATGAAGGTTCATCTACACTCTATCGTGAATGAATCAGACTGGAAGGCTGCTGTGGTATCGGAAATGTACCGCGTTTAATATCAATCCCATCTGGCTCTTTGCATGCTCTCAAAATGTGTCTTACACATTCATATCCATCAAACATTCTGCCAGAATGCTCTCATCTTACCTTCAGGGATATTGTACTTTTGAATTTCATCTTATTTCTGTTTTATTTTGAATTTGTCTTTTCAGTGTTGTTCAATTTTTGTTAGTTTCACAATTGCATGTTTAATGTAAGTGTGTTATAAATTTGAATTATTGCTATAAAGATAATAATGATAACTATATTAGCATCCACACCAGCAGACGATATCTTTCTGTTTATTCTAAGCGCGTGCTTGTCTGTCACTTTAAATGCTCGAGCTCGTTACAGCAGGATGATTCCGATTGGCTGTCAATGTTTTTATCGTTCATCAGCTGGATAAAATCATTCTGAAAGTAATTTCAATGATATCGTTTCTCTGTTACTTTTCTTAGTAATTGTACTAATAATTTGAAGTAAAAAAAAAAAAAATGGTGGGAAAAAAACGCATAGAGTTACACTTAAGGAAGTAGCAGAATATCATATTGGGGTGAGCTCTTTTGACCCAGAACCACCCATAACACCCTTGTATTGTGAAGGTGACTTTTGCAGGGCCAAGAACAAGTCACATTTTCTTCTAAAAATGAATCTTGCTTTATCATTGTAACATTCTTTAAAAAATTGCTTTTGGTGTGACAGGTAATGAGGTGCTTGTTAAGATCTATCTGCTGCAAATACCAATAGTACATTTGACAATTTAAGCCTTCCTGAATTGAAATAACAAGTTAATTATTTATCCCCCCAACAGAAGAATGTTGGCTGATGAATGGAGGCTGTAAGTAACACATTAAAATGGCAGTCAGATACGTGCTGCGGTTGAGGTATATGAGTCACTCTGTGAGGTGGAAACAGAGAGAGAAATGTGTTCATTCTTAAGGTTTCACGAGCATAATTACTGCAGTGCCCACACAGGGACATGGAATGCATTAATAATGCAGAAAAAAACAGACAAGGAGGAAGAGAGAGTTGAGTGTATGGAATTTTATTTTATCACTGTACAGAAATCCCCATCTTCTCCCTCTCATTTCTACTCGAACTGTTGTTTCCTGTTTTTGTTTGTATTGATCTTGCTTATCTTCCTGTTTTTTTTTTGCATGTGATGAATCTGTTGTGTGTCTCACGCATATGTACACAGACACACACATGCCCCGTTTCTTTCCACTGCTGTAAAGGCACACTTCGGGCAGTGGTGGGAGATGTAGTGTGAGCGAGACTCATCTCTCTTCTGAAGCATGTCGCTGGGGAATCCCTGTTCCTGTGCCATTTCCCACCACTTACAACCATCATTTCCTTTAAAGAAATATTTCCCCGCAAAATGAAAATTCTGTCATTTTCTATGTGGGACACAGAATTTCTGAGCTGAAAAACAAAGCATATTGCATGAAATACATTTATTTAATTCCAAGTATACAACAAATTACCGTCATTCTGTTCATTTGCGAGTTTTTGCCTTTAGACTTTGCGTTACGATGGGAGGGAATTAAATATACATTATACTGTACATTCCCAAAATGCTCTTGAGTGCTTTCTCGCATCCATTCCTGCAATTTTAAGCTGTAATTTGTGTTCAGAGACGTATGGCTGTGAAATGAGAGCAGGCTTGTTAAGGTGAGACTTGCTTGACAGCAGTGTGAACTCACTGGTAGCTGCGTGGAGTCGACTGAACCAGACGGGAGGTTGCTTCAGGCTTTTAGAGGTTCTCGTGTTAAGGCTCCACTCTCCTTTATTGGCGTTCTCTCCTGTGGAGCGATAAGAATGGCGGACTTTGACAGCACAGACGCAAACCTAGAAGCTTTTAGGGCATGAGAGCGAGCAAGAGAGAGAGAGAGAGTCTGATGAACGAGATGTAATTTTGGTTGAGGTCGGTATTTGGGGCCTTTCTCATAAAACGTGCATGTCCTTGCCTGGCAGCTATTTATGGAGTTGCTGTTCTAAAGTGTCTGCTCCAAAGCACAGCCCCAACACCTTAAATCTGAAACATATATCATTCGCTTGACAATACATCAAAGCTGAAGGGATGTCGACTGGTTTACAACGCAATATGTGGTTCCACAGATATCGCTCTAGAAATTTACATTTCTACACAGAAAGCACAAGATGGCATGTAACTGAGACGTCTGATGCTAAAAATATGCAGTAACTCCTGTTAATTACGGCCCATGAACATGCACTCAATTCATTAATGTGAATATTATGATGAGATGAAACTCTGTCATGCCTCACTTATCCGAATTTCCTTCATGTCTTGTTCCACCTCATGTTCTTCCTGCTTGCGAAAGAAGTAGTCTATTCATAAGTCGTGGCTTTGTTTGTTGAGCTTTCTCTTGTTGAACTTGCTCAGATATCTTTTGTATCCTTCATCAAACTTTGCACTGAATTATTGATTGTTTGCATGAAATGTTCTTGGCACTCATTTTAACACAGACCATTTTTCTTCACCCAATGCTTTTCCGCCAGTTTCAGATCACTGATTTAAACTTTAACAGAATTAGCCCAACTACCAGAAATATGTTTTTAGAATATTTTGCTTTTTTGTGCATATTTTGTGCATATGGCTTAATGGAATATTTACATTCCATTAAGTTATTTCGGAATGTTCTCTGAATATTCAAAGCATCCAGTTTAAAAAAAAAAAAGTTTTAATGGTTATGCAAACATTAGGGGAACATTTGATCCTTTTTGCAAACTTTGGGAATATTACTTTTGAATGCTCTCTGAACCTTCTGAAACAATGAAACATTTTTTGTTTAAAAACCTTAGGGGAACATCCAACTAAAACATTTCAAGACAAAAAATTTCCATGAAAGATGTATCAATGATGTTTTTAAGAACATTATTAAAGACTGAATAACTTTAAACTAATATTCTATTAATGTTACTGGAAGAGAGTTTATTCGTAAATTTGAGAAATCCTTGAGAACGTTCCCAGTTTGGCAGCACTGGAAAAAACATACTTTGTATTTGACTTTGTACTTTGAGATTGTACTTTTACTTTTCTAAGTGATTAGACTTTTCATCGGGCAGATTATATAACAGGCAGAATCTTTTAGAATATCATCTCTATGTATGTATGATGGTCTGAAGAAATCAGTTGAGTTGATCAGTTGAGCCCAAGTGTCTACTTGGGCTCAACTGATTTTGGGCCAGTATACCTACCAACCACCCAGAAACCCCTAGAAACCACCTAGCAAGGCCATAGCAACTGGAAAACACTTTTTGTG